ATTAATCTATGTTGTCCTTATTTGGACTACAATAATATGCAGAACTAGATGGCAGCAAAGAGATATAGCATAAAAATTGTCTTTGACAGACTTTACTGTTCCTTGGCTAGGTGGTATAATATTGTACCTTGGTCCATACTTGAATGACCAGGTCTAAACCCTGCATGTTTTGGGGCCAAGATGGTCTCAGAAAGCATCCAGTCCAAACGTTTGTAGTATAAAAATATGGTATATAATTTCCTAATATAAAATATTAGGAAAGATAGGGCAATAATTTGCAGGACCTGACTTGTCCTTTTTTTTTTTGTATATAGGTAGAATGATGGAATTAAACCAACCTTTGGAGATATGTAAGGAATTATTAATGGCAATTAAAATAGGAGCTAGCACAGCTACCCAGCAATCAGGGTTAGATTTTAGAAGTTTGTCTTTGCTAGGGGCTTTGCTATTTTCATCTGAGAAATTGATTTTTGAACTTCTGGGTGTGAGACTGGAAGCCATTCTAAGAGGAAGTTCTGTGGTGGAAAAATATAAGAATCGCCACCTGGAGATATATTACAAAGGCCATGGAAATATCCCTGCTGAGACTCAGGAGAGATCAAATGGCCATTATTAGGTGGGTTAGATTTTACTGAGAATCAGAAAATAGGTGCCAGAACAAGCAGTCATCTTTGCTTGTTACAGCCTTTTGAAGTTTAGCTTAGTTCTTCAATGCATAATTTTGTTTCTTCTCCTTTAGAAGCCTCTTGTAACTCCCTTCTAGAGTATGAAATGTTTCCTGTTAAGAAAGTTCATTGTAAGTCTGGACTTTCTTATATGGAAATATTGCCAGTGCTTTCCCTGCAGCACATTCTCTATCAAACCAAGGTTCAGATCACTGATTGAACTGAAGAGGAGAGGAGTTAAACCAACTGAGCTAAATCAATAATTTGTTGGAATATACTGATTATTTCACAGGCATTGCTAGCCATGGTCATAGATTGTTTCCAAGAACCAGTTGCCAGAGCAACAAAGAATTGACCCATACCCACAGCCAGCTTATTGGACCATAATGGGTGGAAGTAACTGTTGGTAGCAAGAGAATCAAGGACTTGTAAAAATTGGCTCCATTCAATTAATAGTGAAGGATCCTGCCAGGGGTAGTTGGTCACTCGCAAGATGGAAAGACATACAGAGTCTGTAGATAAGCCCAGCCTGTAGTGCTTGAGAAGGTATAACATTCATAATAAGTTTATTCACCAATTCTCATGGTTGGTGTAAGATCTGGACTAGTAGATAATTTTTGTACTAAAGTTGACTGAGAAGGTTTGATGTGCTTCTTTAAAATTTTAACCCAATTAATTCCCTTTAGAGTTTTGACATTATAAAATGGTGTTGGAAATGAATTAGATTATTCATATATATTTCCTCTTCCAGACATGGATGACTGTGTTCAGTGCCCAGAAGGACAATTTCCAAATGATGCTAAAGATGGATGTCTTCTGAAAAAAATCACTTATCTGTCTTACAAAGAACCTTTGGGGATTGATTTGACCATTCTTGCACTCTCACTTTTTTTAATTACAGCATTGGTGCTTATGATTTTCATTAAACATCAGAGCACTCCAATTGTCAAAGCCAACAACCGGAATCTCACTTATGTTCTCCTTATTTCTCTCCTGCTCTCATTCCTTTGTGCTTTACTATTCATTGGTCAGCCTGTGAAGGTGACGTGTCTTCTTCGACAAAGTGCTTTTGGCATCATCTTTACAATTGCTGTGTCATGTGTCTTAGCCAAAACGGTCATTGTGGTTCTAGCTTTTAAAGCCACCAAGCCAAATTCCAAAATGAGGAAGTGGGTGGGGAAACCCCTGGCCAACTCCATTATTTTTTCCTGCTCTTTTGTTCAAATAATTATTTGTATGACATGGTTGGCTACTGCTCCTCCATTCCCAGATTTTGACATGCATTGTTTACCTGAACAAATTCTACTTGAATGTAATGAAGGCTCAAATGTCATGTTTTACTGTGTCCTCAGCTTTATGGGTTTCTTGGCTGTTGTGAGCTTCATGGTAGCTTTTCTAGCCAGGACACTGCCTGATACTTTTAATGAAGCCAGGTTTATCACCTTCAGCATGCTAATATTCTGCACTGTTTGGTTGTCTTTTTTCCCGGCCTATTTAAGTACCAAGGGGAAATATATGGTGGCTGTGGAGATCTTCTCCATCTTGTCCTCCAATGCTGGGCTACTGATTTGTATTTTTCTTCCCAAAATCTATATCATTTGGATGAAACCTGAGTTAAATAATAGGGAACAGCTAAGAATAAAGCATTAAAGACTTTTATTATTTATGGCATTCAGCTAACTAATTCAAAAAGCATATAGATTCTAACCAAGGAATGGGATAGATCAATTATTATTAGCTTCAGTGAGTTTTTGACAATAATTTATGTAATCCTCATGCCGCTTCCAGCATCTAGCTGCATACATGAAAGTTTAAAATGAATAAAAAATGAGGTGCCTGCACTAAGTTCATCTCTTTCATTCTCCAGCCTTAGAGTGTTTAAATAGCAGGTATGCATTGGTAGGAGGATATAATTGTCCAGCAGTACAATATCCTGTGCAACTCTGGATTTGAAGTCCCAGATCATGTGAACATCTTCACTCTGAATCAAGTGACTATGGCTACATTGGTCTTATAGACTTCCCAGCTAAATACATGGAGATCAGGGGAGGAAAGAGACAGACATATGTGCTTGCACCTATTCTCTGCAGTTTTAAATATTCACACAAATCAAGACTTATGAAGTCAGTGGGCTTTACTGCAGGTAACTATTGATAAGATTGTACCTCCAGTATGGTTGATGATTGATTGATTGATTGATTGATTGATTGATTGATTGATTGATTCATTCATTCATTCATTCATTCATTCATTCATTCCACTCAATAAGTGACTCTTTTTGCCTTGTTGAAATGTGACACTCAATTAACGATCCTGTATTTATTTATTTAGATTAATAAAACGTTTCAATCCCAGGTGGCTCTAACTGGCATATATTCCAATACAGTAATAACAAAAATTAAAACAGAAAACAAGTGATGATGATGATGACCATCACATTCAGCATCATGCTGAGGAAAGACACTCTCAATAACCATCAATCATCCAGCATTTTATCAGTCCCCAAAGGCTTTCTGAAATAGCCAAGGGTTAGTGACTTTCCTAAATGACAGCAGAGTTCATGCTGAGTAGGATGGAATCCTATTCCAAAAGAGAAGGGTTTTCTGAAACTGTCCCTGGAAGAAGGAGAGAATTACAACAAAACACTGTCCCCATTCTTAAGTCCTGGAGATGGTCCAAAAAGCAGATGACAGATCAATTAGGACTACATAGCCCATGTTCTGGTCTTACCATGGGCTATGCACAAGAACAATCAGTGTGGTCTTCATTTAATACCCTGGTCTGATCCCAGACAGAAATTGGTTCTGATAATCAGCGTCTTCCAGGGCCTTTCATAATTGCAGATCCACAGCTTTCCCCAAAAGAGGAAGTTGAAGACTCTTTTATAATTATCCAAAACAACTGAACTGAACAATGGCTTCTTGAGGAAGGGCACATATTTACTTTCCATTCTCCAAATTCTGTCAAAAATAAATGCAATAATAAATTAAAAGATTTCTTCCAGTGTAATAGCCATAGCCCTTCTGCCACCTTTATATTTTGTTTCATAATTCCATCACATTTTATATATTTACTCCCCATAATATTTATACAGATAATGCCTACAATACATCATAGAACATTAGGAGTTGCCATAGATAACTTGAATGATTAGATCTAATGGGAAATTAGCAGGAGATATTGTGCATCCTGTACATAAACTCTTTGCTTCCAAAGAATTTAAAAGACTACATATAAAATGAGGAGCATTAAAATATAGAGGAACCAAAAACAACCACTGCCAAAGAAACAAAGAATAAGATGCTAAAGGATGAAAAATACATACAAGAGTCAAAACCAGGAAAAAAAAGTAAGCTTGCTCACATTCAAGAGGCTAACATTTTCAAAACATAGGTTAATCTAGATCAGTTCAAGTTCATCTAAACTTTGCTCAGGGAATCAGAACAAATGGTCACACATCTCTAGATTTCTAGCATGTCTTCAATGGCGATGGGTTCATTGACACTTCAACTGTGGAGGCAGGAATGATTTTGTTCCCTTTCATTCTTAACCAATTCATTTCAGTCAAATGAGTATCACCTAATAATATCGTTTGGGGCGGGGGGGAGGAAAGAAGCTGCAATTCAGTCAATTTACACTAAACTTGGGCAGATGTCCATAGCCACCACCTGTTTTCCTTTGGATTTTAGAGGAAAAGATGAAGGGGACAAAGTAAATACTGGAAATTAGTTTTTGGGGTCCAGTAGGGCACTATCAAAAAGACAACCAGAATTTATATATTTCAAAAATAATAAGTTTCCTGTCTTATGAAGATTGGGCTGCCTCTGCTCTGTTGTATTACAGTTTTAGTTCTAAGTCTTTTAAATTTAAGGGTTTTATTTAAACTTTCAGAATTTGAGGATGTAACATATGACACAAAGCTCTGGATTATGAGAGCAGATGCAGATTTCTCGTCTGTTTTTCTTGAAAGAAATGCGGATCTTAATTTTATATGTGGTGTTATATCCTTGCAACACATTCAAAGGAGGTTCTAGGATTCCAGAATTTTGTTCAGAAGTGGAACCCTAATTTAGATAAGGAAGAAACTATGTAACATAAAATAAACCCTTCTTTTGTTCAAAACTCTGTACAACTTTCCACATGACACTCATTCTCCAGATAGATAGATAGATAGATAGATATTCTGTATAGCTAGTGGCTGGATAGCGTAGGGGTTACAGCACCACCCTTTGACGGGGGAAACTGCGGGTCAAATCCCCACTGGTACTTACCTTACCAGTAGGGGTCCTTGGTCAAAGACCCCCTAATGCTTCACCTGCCTATCTCGGATATGAGAGTGACACAAACTAAGAGAGTCATGCTGGCTCAGATGTTACCCTGATTAACAAGGTCTGCACCAGATGTTGGGGAGCCAGGACAATCTGACAATAAGTGGGCTACTGGAACAAACCATACATGGGCAAGACAAGAGAACCTAGAATTGATGGAATACTACTACAACAGTAGACCTAATGACAGGGGAAATATGAAACATAAAGGAAACTATGGATGGACAGACCTACATCCACACTAACTGAGAAGTAGCTAGTTACCCAATGTTTCAACACAGTGAAGAAGAAGCTGCTCTCGCAACTTGAAAAACCATAGAGAGACACACTAAGATTAGATGTTTCTTCTCACTGCTACCTTTGCTGCCCTTCTCTATCCCTCTGTTTTCTCAGGTTGATGATTGCTAACTGTGATAGGCAGATCTCAGCCTCATGTAGCTTAAGGCAGCTAAATCTATTTTCTCAGAGCCTCACTGCTTGCCTTATTAAAGAAGGAAGTTCTTCACTCTTCATTACATACAGTAAAGGCTGTGCTTGTTCTAACACCACCTACTACCAAAGTGCTTCAGCTTCTCATTCTTGGTTAAAAGAGAAACGTGGAATCCTTTATTTGAAATCCTATCCTGAGGAAGGGGAAATCCTGTTCTGTCCCCTTCAAATGCCAGGCATTATGGAAGCCTCTCCCAATTCAAGAGCAGGTGGTAGATGTAGCATTGACACCCTGGAACCCTGACTGAAAGGAAGAGTGGTTGCAGATCCCATGATGTATCTGGGACGCATGCGCTACTGCTTGGGACTGACAATACCACCCCCCTACACTTCAATCACCACAATACCCTACGATTCCATATTGCTACCCAGGAGAAGAAATGTTTCCAGCCAAATAAAGTACAACAGTGATTAAATATCTTGGCTAAAGTTCATACTGGGTTTCCCCTGAAAATACTATAGGAATGGCATTCAAAGTTTTGACAAGTGAGAGAAACCACAAGCTGATACTCAGAGTGATTTTTTAATTATAAGTAATATCATCGTAGAGTTTGTGATAGGAAAAGTATCCCTCTCATTGTGATCTATCTTTTCGCTGAAAAATGATCTAAGGCTATAATTTTATGATGTCAAGTAGTGATTCAGAAAAGCTGCTAAAATTTGAATTCAAGAGTGTTCCTAAGTGTCTTTTTATTAGTTAAATTTGGTTGCTTTCTTACATTGCTTTCAAGAGCATTCTTTTTTCTTTTTCTGGACCAGTGGCAAATTATTGCATCAGAATCAACCCGGGAATGATTACCTACCCTGTAATTATGAATTGTGACTTGGCCTGCAGCTTCTCTGGGTCTGTCCAGGTGGCTATTAATGACATTACAGATCAAAGTAAAGTAGGCTTAAAAATCCCCTGGGCACTTCAGAATTAAGGATGCCACAGAGAGAGACTGTATTAATGGGCTAGTAAGAGATAGTTTGCCTGATGCTTCCTGGACTTACGATGTGCAACTTGAGGCTGTCTCAACATTAATGGGTCAGATGGAGAAATGTTCTTTTACGGGGAGATTTTCATTCATGATGATAATATTCAGATTATTGGTATTAGGGCCTCTTCCTAACAGTGTCAGCAGGGTTCCAGTGCTAAAATGCCCGAGGACCCAGCCAACTACTATCTTACATAAATATTATCAGGCAGGAGACCAGATCATTGGTGGCATCTTCTCACAGACTTTCATTTCTACTATTGCAATGGAGTTCAGAAGACACCCGTTCCAGGACATACTCTCGGATCACATGTAAGGAGTTTTGCATTTTAAAATTACGTACTAGTTTTCTTCCTGTTCCTTCTGAAAAAGATATTCCACTCCTTCACACTCACTAAAGACAAATGGCATGAACAGTTCCTCTTGATGAAATACTTTTAACTTTATGGAGTCCACCATTCCTACTAAGCTTGTAATACAGTATAAACATACAAAGTGAAAACAAGTTTAATGACCAATATTACATTTTAAATATATATCCTCAGTAAATAATATATGCTGGGGAGGGGAGAGAAATGTTCTTTTAAAACCAAAAGAAAAATGCACCCTAATGTGTCATTTGGAAGAACTCCATCAGTTCCGCTATGCCTGTATATTCTACTTTAATAGCAATAGCACTTCTTATCCCAGAAATGATGTAAGGATTAGTTTATTAATAGAAAAATGAAATAAACATTCATACTAAAATCCATCACTCCTCATAAACATATTGTGTCTCATTAATATGCAAGAGGAAAACCTCTCCCTCCGCAACAATTGCCGAGAGAATCCTAGAGTTGTGATTTTCCATTTTCTT